AGACCATTATTTCAGAGATAGTAGGAACTGCAGATGCTGGAGAATCTGAGATAACAAGGTGTAGAGCTGGATGAACACAGCAGGCCAAGCAGCATCAGAGGACCAGGAAGGCTGACGTTTTGGGCCTAGACCCTTCTTCAGAAAAATTTTTCTCCCCACAAGTTAGCTTCACCTTTTTGAAGCAGTGTCTTGCTTGTCAATTCGAGAAATCGCAAAGCAACCGGCCATCAAACAATCTCACATTACATCAGTTTCTTTTCAAGAATTTCCAATGATGCCCACCCATTCAATGCCTTCCATGAATTCACATTCATTCCAAGGCAGTCAATCCAGCTAGGATTCAATTGTTCCATTAACCTCATCCAGTGATGACCTCAAGGTATAACAGCACTGTCCCCTCTCGCTGATAAATCACAAACCTCAATCACCAAATGGTCCTTTCTCTGTAAATGACTGCTTCATCTTACTCATCATTTGGAAAGGATCCTGTTCCATTCATCTTCACAATCTCTCCTATTTCCCCGTCGCCTGAATTATTTTCCTGGCCCACAGTTTTAGATCCTCTTCCCCATTCAGGCTAATCACAGATTAGTTCACCAAAGAACTTGTGAGCTTGTTGGGCCGAATGGCCTGCTTCCACACTGTAGGGATTCGATGCACCCAGTCACGATTCTGCTCCTGATCCCAGCCAACAAGATTTTGTATGTTTCAATAAAGCAGAGGAAAATTAAGCTGGTGTGTAAAAAAGCAATTGTGTTGTGACTTACCCTGGTGTTCTGAGAATGATTGAAATCATCTTGGTCTTGTCTTTGGGGTTCAGACTCGTCAGTTTCTCCCCTTCATTTGTAGATCATATGCCATCAACTAAATTTACAAAAACTTTCTCCTCTTCAGTTCCATCTAGTCAATTATCATCATCTTTTGGTATATTTAATGCCCATAGTGATGACCTGACCATGCACATTACTACCCGAGTGACAGATGATAGCCTAACATGTCTTCATTCCCATCTCAGGTGGATTTAAGACATCCCACTTTTAGCCATTTCGTGGTGTCTGTAGAGTTACCACACTCCACCTCATTTCTGCTACAGACCAAGCCATTATCTGAGAGTTTACTCCATTCCTCTACATTAGATTTATTTCATTCCATAACATAACAGTCTCTAGTGATACACATTACAGCATTCATTGAACACTGACTGCTGTGTCAGTCAACTCTACACAGGCTTGGCAAGACATTTACAACTCCACAGAACAATATCAAATATCAAAGATTCCAATTTCCCCTCGAACAATGCAAATTGAAAGTCTGAACCCCAAAGACAAGACCAAGATGATTTCAATCATTCTCAGAACACCAGGGTAAGTCACAACACAATTGCTTTTTTACACACCAGCTTAATTTTCCTCTGCTTTATTGAAACATATAAAATCTTGTTGGCTGGGATCAGGAGCAGAATCGTGACTGGGTGCATCGAATCCCTACAGTGTGGAAGCAGGCCATTCGGCCCAACAAGCTCACAACAAGCCCTCCAAGAAGCATCCCACCCAGACCCTACCCCAGCCCTACATTTCCTAATCCAGCCAACCTAATACATCCCTGAACACTATGGGAAATTTATCATGGCCAATCCACCTCACCTGCACATCTTTGGACTGTGGGAGGAAACCACACAGACACAAGGAGAATGTACAAACTCCACATAGGCAGTTGCCCCTGTGTGGAATTGAGCCTGGGTCCCTGGTGCAGTTAGCTCTTATCTGCTATTCTTTTGTGCACAACTATTCTGTTTTGTAATAACCCTACTTCAAGTAATTAATTCTGACACAAGCGCTGAATTCTAAGCCATTCCGCATTTGGAAGACCTATCATTTACCAGGTTGTCTCAGGCACCAAATGATAAACTTTCAGTCATTGCATCTTGTAAATGTCTATGAGATGTAGTACGATTATGTTGGACAGCGTGACTGGATTGCAGAATGAGACACCGCTACCCCTGTTTGAGTCTCTGAATCTTAACTTCCTGGTGCCTAAGCCCAGGTTCTGGAATTCCCTCCCTAAGCCTCTCTACTTCTCCTTGAAGATGCTCCACAAAACCTGATTCTGAAGGGGTTTGATAGGATGATTGTGGAGAGATGGTTTCTGCAGGCTAGGACATCTAAAACCCAGGGTCACAGTCTCAAGATAAGGAGCTAATCACTTAAGACCGAGATGAGTATAAATGAATTCACAGTAAGGGTTGTGAACTGATGCGATTCTGAAGGTGTGGATTTTTAAATCTTTAAGACTGGGCTAGACAGAGGTCTGGTTTCTCAGAAAAATCAAGGGATGTAGGAAAGGGCAGGAAGGTGGAGAGAAGCTCAAGATCAACCATGATCTTAATTGAATGGGGAAAACAGTCTGATGGTTCAAAGAGCTACACCTGCTCCCATTTTTTTCAATTGTGCCTATCTCTTGGACCAAGCTTTTAGCCTACTGCCCTATACCTTGTGTGGCCATGTGTGAAAATGTTGACTCCTGGGAAGTCATTTGGGATGTTTTACTCTATGAAGACCCTAAAGAAAGGCAAGTTGTTGCTGTCAATTATGCTAGGCCAGTCACACACCAGCAGAGGGGTTGTTCTTACATTCTCTCCCGTGGTCCACCACAAACCACCCCCACCCCAAGATATTCACACTTTTTATGCCTACCAAAACAGCTGTGCACCATGATCAATGCTCCAGATCCACAAATACTGTTTCCATGATGATGTCTGCCATTGCAGCCTTGAGAATAAATGCCAGTACCAAGCTATAGGTTAAACAAGGGCTACTCAACATGCAATTAGTCAGGAACTAAATTAATATTTTGTCTTCTTGCTGTCCAATATCAATGATTACTCAATAAATGGCAGCCCACTTGGAAGTTCTGAGGAACCTTCAGGTGCTTGTCCACAGATCCCAAAAGGTGGTGGAACTGGTTAATAGGTCAGTAAGGCACTATACAGAATGCTTGCCCTTATAAAAGCATGTTGGAGCTTACAGAATGTTGGTTAGGCCACAGGAGGAGTACTGTGTGCAGTTCTGGTCACCACACTAAAGGAAGGATGTGATTGCACTGGAGGGGCTGTAGGGGAGATTCACCAGGATGCTGCCTGGGATGGAGCATTTCAACAATGAAGAGAGACTAGATAAGCTTGGGCTGCTTTCTTTTGAACAGAAAAGGCTGAGGGAGGACTTGAGATGGAGGTGTCCGAGATGGAGGGGCACAGACAAGGTGTATATAGGAAACAGCTGTTCCCCTCAGTTGAAGGTAAATAATGAGGGAGTGCAAGATAAGGTTAAGGGCAGGAGGTTTAGAGGCAATTTGAAGACTTTTTTCACCGAGGTTGGTGGAGTTTGGAATAGCGTCAGGAAACCTCACAACGTTGCAAAGTACTTGGATGCCCACTTGAAATGTCAGAACATTCAAGGCTAGGTGCTGGAAAGTGAAATTACAGACAGACCAGTGTAGAATCAATATGGCAAATAGCTTCTCCTGTCTGGTAAGACTCAGACCTTTGTCTCATCCTTTTACTTGCCCTTTCATCTTCTCATACACTACACCACTCCCCAGCCAATTTTCAGGAAGCAGTATACACCCAAGCTTTCCATTAATATTGCTTAATAGTTTCCAGAAACCAGTCTAAAGTGATTAAGCATGGCATTACAGTCACCGGTTTACGATCTCTACATGTCGGCCCACAATGTACTCTCCTCTTCACCCACTCATCTGGTGAAAGCTGATGAGAGCAGGAGCTCTTCGAAGTAATTCACATGAGTTCAGGTCATCCATGACGGCACCTCTCAAAGCTGACTCTGCACTAGACTGGAGTGACACTGTATCTGGTGCAAAGCCTAGACCAAAGGCGATGCTCTGTTCAATATAATGTTTGCACCTTCTGGTTTCAACATACTCAGGAATCAGATAGCCTACACAGTTATGCTTCCACTTTTAAGTCATCAAACATCAGGCATAAAATAAGTGTATTATGGGACATCAAGTCTTTGAATCCTCCCAATCTCTACGGAGTCAGGAATGGTACAATGAGTTTCAGGCACTTGTTAGTAACATAATGCTCTGTGCCATAACCAAATGAAAATAAATTATTATACAGCAATATTCGCAATAGTAATTTTTTTGTAATATTCACCTAGGTCACAATAAAAGTCTCTGACTGTCATCAATCCAACTGAAGAAATCTTTGTCCTACAGTTGCCAAGATTAAATCACTCAATATCTGCAGACACTATTCTCAATCAAGAGGATGGAAATGTCATAAACTTAACTCAGAGTAAATCAGTCATTGGACCTTCTTCAGAGAGAGGGTGTCTTGGGTGGAATTTAATCCAATTATAGAACAACCTGTTTGGCTATCCACTCAAGACCATCAATTGTCACAAGTGTTTATCCTAACTACAACCAATTCAGATGGACGCAGTGTCGAAGAAGCTATGGTGATTGAATTTGACCTACCACATTACACATTATTAGACTGTTAATTCCAGATTTTTATTGAATTCAAATTCCACCATACGAACCCAGGTCCTAGATCATTGCCTGGGTCTCTGGATTTGTAGTCCGGTGATAATACCACTAGGCCATTGGCTCCCATTAAACTAAGTCAGTCAAACTGACGTGATAAGTGAAACTGATTGTGATCATTTGTGGGAAAACTATGACAGGTGCCAGGCTGTGAAAATCAATGTCCTTCACATGACAGCGGTCCTATAATCGAGGCCGTTAACTCTTGATGCCTTCTGTCAAGGATCAACAAGCCACTCAAAGCGCAGGTTACTTTCACAGAGCAACTGTGAAGGGCAATAAACACACCAAACATCCCAAGAGCAAACAAAAAGGGTACATTAACTTCGTACAACAATGTGGTAAATTAGATGTAGCAGAATAGTAAAGTGTTTCATAATAAGTTGTGAGAGTGTGAAGAGCATTTAGGAGTTAGTAGAGTACTGAAACCTGAGTAAAGTCAGAACTTTTATTTTTGGACAACAATGAAAATTTTATGTAAACCTTGTCTAAAATTGTCAATGTATTCTACAGTACAAAACGTCAACTTCAACAAAGAGTAAAATTATTTTAAATCCTCGCAGCATAACTTGTAAACTATATATTTTGTTACAAGTTACTTCAGCAGCAGCATTTTGGTAGATTTGAGGTCAAATTCCTGAAAAGGTCTTGGGTCTTTAGTAGAAATCATTAATGTACAAACAGTATCACAGCTGGCCAGGTGCTTCTGTAACACCATACGACGAATCTTTTCTTCACTGCCTGCTGGCTTTGCCATTTTCATGTGTATCCATTCTATAATACACAAAAATGCAAGTTGTCAATCTAAAGGCATTGTTAGAAGTTATCTGAACTACAAAGCAATGTCATACGAACATTACATACAATTACAGAAGCATGAATCAAAACAAGATTAAATTTTAACTCCCATTTTTAAAAGAAAATTGGAGTTTATCTAACATTTTACCATCCCACCATGTGTAATGAATAGCATAGACTTATCACACATATGCAGATAAAGAAAAATGTAAAAATGCTACTGACCCATTTTCTTCTTTAAGATGCTGGTACAATTCAGCTTTGTTGTTAACAGAACTCAAGCGACCAGCAAATTCTTGGTGTTTTCTTGAATTTGCTGTGTTGATCCTATTAGTCCACATTGCAAGCAAGGAAATTGGGCCTGGAAAATTGAGACAGATGGGATGGGAAAAAACCATCAGTGCTGTGCTCACACAATAAGTATCTTCCAAGCCATTACCCATGCTCCATAAACGTAAAGCCTCTAGTATCCTGAAAATTGTTCAAATGAATTTTAAGCTCAGCAGTTACAGAATTTTCCCGAGAGAGACAGGCAGAGGTGGTGGTGGTGGTGATGAGAACAGATACAAACGTTTCTTTCTCACATCAGTTGTACATCAGTAATTGCGTACAAAACCTGTTGAGGGGCAAAGTGAAGCTAAACTTCTTTAAAAATGCAACAACTTGTTAGGATTTGAAATGCACTGCCTGTAGGATGCGAGATACAGATTTGATACCTTTCCAAAAAGAACTGGTTAAAATACTCTGGGAAAGACAAGTTGTTGGGTCGCTGGAAAAAAATCCTGGGATCACAGTCTAACTGGTTTTGTTCCTTGTAAGAGCCAGCACAGACTTGAAGGGCCAAATGGTGTCCTGCTGAGCTGTGCTATTCAATGATCTTGGCATTTGTGCCTACAAATCTCTATGTCCTGTTATCACATTTTTGTCAGCAGAGTTCTATAGTAGATTGCTGCCCATACAAATGGAATGGTCAACCTGAATTGGTCACATGATGTTTACATCCTCCCACTAGTGGCGATGCTGTACCGTGTCAATGGTGCATTCTACAGCTCCTCAGGCTGCAGGGTCAAGAAGTTCCTGTACACCAAACACCATAGCACCTCTACTTCCCAAACTGTTGCTGCTCTTGCCACTACATTTATTATTTATAGCTGACTTCATAAACATTAGAAACCATGAATTAGACGTGTAGAGCAAAAAATATTCACACAGCTAGTGTCATGCTCTCCATCTTCTTGCAATCTTTATTTTTTTAAATCAAGCAATCTGAATCACTTTCCCCATTGTGTCCAACAATTCCATGGCTTTGTATCATATTATAAAGAATATATTCAGACTACATTTTGCACCTGAGATAACAAGGTGTAGAGGTGGATGAACACAGCAGGCCAAGCAGCATCAGAGGAGCAGGAAAGCTGACATTTCGGGTCTAGACCCGCACCAGTAGGATTACAGGATCAGATGACATTTTGCTAACACTTTAATCTACTGTATTGAGCACACATCGAATAGAATAGAATCATAGCTAGGTTAACAGGTACTTGATACAAACAAAGCCTTTCACCTTTAACCTTTTCAGGAGGCTGTATTTCTCCAATGCTGACTCTGGGTTTCTTGTTCAGAGGCTCAGGGGAGTCTGGAGAGTCCTTGATTATCTCAGCTTCAGCCAACTCCTCTTTTTCTCGTTCCAGTGTTCCTTTTAGGCTTTGCAAAAAAGAAACAAATGTTTACCTGTGACTGTACACAGATACCATCAAATCACACTGCACCAGATCACTCATATTGGGGTGACACAAAGCTTAAACATTTCAGAACACTAATAAAACACACCAGAGCAGCTGGTGACAAATAAAATGCCAGTGTTCCTGTCAGGATACAGTGTACATGGTGACCATCTTTCCTCCATTAAGATAACAGAGGGCTTCACCTTGAGTTTATTCTATCTATTTTTTGTCAGTATATAGTAGACAATTACATGGCAGCATTTATTCCCCATATCCAAGTGCCGTGAAATTATGAACAGTCAACCAGCACAGAACGTGGCAGGAGTGATATCTGATTGATAGGGGTGGTAAACTTCCTTTCACGAGACCAATGAGGTAATGAACTTTTCACATCAAAGCAGCAGCTTTCATTATTATATTCTGTCTGTATAATAGCCCACAAACTACCAAATCACTTATGATCAACTCTGTACTTCCTGCAGTAAATTTAAACTCCATGGCTTACTGGACGAGCACTATAACCACTACTTTATGACTACCTCTACATATTTCTAGGTAGGAAAGAAATCATGACAGAAGTAACCTGTCTGCTTTCAATAACTTCTGGAAAGCAGTGGAAGATCAAAGAGGAAAGTAAAACCAATACAGATTGACTGATCTACTGTAGGAAATTTAGATTGAGACATAACAATATTTTCCAAAAAAATATAGCCCCACATTGCTTACAGCAGGAGTGTTGGTTGTTTTGCACATTATACACTTTGGACAATATACACTTCAAAATGTGCTGTTTAAAAGCTAATATCCTCACTACTAACCATACAAAAAAACCTTGCAGTAATCAGATTGATGGGGAGGTATTACTGGAACTCTGTCTATTGTTCTGTACAATTGTTGAACTGACACCCAAGGCTCTGTGCAAAGATCAGTCAGCTCTTCCGAACTTCTTTCCTCCTATATTTTCTGTGTGGGTACATATTAAGTAGTGTAACTGCCAAATGCATTGTAACAAAAAGTAAACCTAAAATACTCAGCATATTTCACTGACATGTTGAAAGCAATGACTCTAATTGGCAATAAACAGGAATAATAATCTATAAAATGTTTTATACTCTTTGCTACGTTTATCTAGTGCCCGATTTAAATGTGGGTCCTTTACATCATATGATCCATATTTATAAGCACATCCTGTAGGTCCTGCCCTACTGATGAACAGCAGCGAAAAGGAAAGAGCTATTACTACACAGTGCAAGTGTAAGTAATATTGCAGGATTTTTTCCTTATGTGTCGTTTTCCTTAAGTTATGCTGTTTACAAGGTTACTGGATTTTCTTAACAACTTGCATTTAGACACCACCTTTAATACAGCAAACCCTCCCAAGGCACTCACTGGGGTATTATAGAACAATAAAATTGTCAGGAATGACACTAGAAACTCTTCTTTTATCAACTTGATCAAAGCATTTTATTCAGTATGTTGCAAGGCTCTGAAGATGGGCATCCAAATTTTTGGGGCACAAAGAAAATTCATGAAGAAGTTGCAGGATCGAGATGATTTGACTGCAACTGGTTTGGGAGATAGGAAACAAATGCCTTCAAAATCCAGGGCCAGACAATGCTGTGTTAGTCATTTACAATGCACCGAAATGTGGCTATCCTGATCAAACAGCAACAGGCCAATGGCATTGGTATTAAAATTAGGAATATTTTAATTTAAATATGATTCTCCCATTCCTAGATGGAAAACTCTTTAATCTTAGTCACTTTCATGCCCAAACAAAACTGTCCACTGTAGACATGCATGATCTACAATTTATAGGTGGCTGCAGTGTTAATGTTCATGCTGTGCAAGCTGACCCCAATCTCTTCCATTCTGCCCACAGGGTATTTGGCCTGTCCTTGCACATCGTGAAGCAAAACTCCTATCAACTCAGTTCAAAGATCTGACGGTTCAGCATCAGCCTCTTCAGAAGACTCAAGGCAGAAACCAGTAACCAAGCTGATATTATCCTCAAACCTAGGGGCAGCTGATGATAAAGACAAAATTTGACACTAGGCCAAATAAAGAAATATTAGGTTGGATGACCAATCTTTCAGATTTAGATTTTATTTATGTTAATTTAGATTTTAGTGTCACGTGTACTCAAGTACAGGAGTACAGTGAAAAGTGTCTAATGTCACCACACATGGCGCCATCTTAGGTACAAAATAGCTAAAGAAACAAAGTTTAAAAAGTTAAGCATCACAGACCTTCATAGAATTAGGAGAAAAACAAAGAAATAATGTAATAGTTAACATTAAAGTCCTCCTTAACATAAACTAGAAAAATAAAGGTCAAAGAAGTAAATTTTAAAGAAGAAAACGTGAAGTATAGCCCATAAAAGGCCTTGGAAGCTGAAATCATGGTTGCCAATGTGAACTTTAAAACCATGGCCTAGAGAGAGGAGGAAACAATATTTCTGTCTTTATCACTCAATAACAGGATTAAGGTTTCCCAATCAGCAGGACACTCTCCTGGTGGGCTACCACACCAGAGATCTCCCAATCAGCTAAAAGATGGCAGATATTTCAACACCATTAGCACAGAATCTTTGTTCCAGCCTCCAGAGTGAATCATGCTCCTTTCTTCCCCAAAAGCAGCCACCTTACGTCCTTGTAGGAATGGCATTGCCAATTGGTGCCGAGTTATATACAGCTCTACAATGGGATACTTGATTCTACACATGGACGAAGGCTACAGTTCTGGCATATAACAACCGTTTACTAGCTCTAGGGAACTGCTTAATTGCTGATCTGTTCCCTTTAATTGATATAGTTGGAATGATCAATTGAGGAAAGACATCCTGCCCGTAAGCTATCCATTCATGACAAAGTGGGAACTTGTTCAAACAAAATAATGATGCCTATTAAAAATTAATTTCCTTAACTAATAGGAGTACTTTGAACAAAAGTAACCCCACCAAGCATTTATTCCTCCTTTAAGTGATGTTTTGTTAACCAATATAGATGAAATACATTTCAATTCTGTACTCACCGCTCAGTATCTTGCCAAGATTTCTCAGGCTCATAATCTTTCACTATCTTTTCTGATTTATCTTCTTTATCTTCTCTCTTCCTGCGGCTCTTCTTGCGCTCCTCCTCTTCAGGTGGCTTACTCCTGCACGCCAGCAGACATTCCAGCACGCGCTGATGTTTCTCGGAGTTGTTTAAGTGGGCTCTTACTAGGGTTTCCAACTCATTCCACATTATCCGATACTGTTCGTCTCTGCAGAGGATATTAGAAGCCCATAATTGTTATTTCTGGATAAGAACAACAAACGAGGAACTTCAAAATATTTAACTACGTCTCACCATCCCACCACACACTCACACCCCCCACAGACACTCTCTCCACTCCCCCCCCACCCCTTTCATTCTCACACACACACACTCTGCCCCTTCTCTCTCACACAGACACACTCTCTCTCTCTCTTTCCCGCGCCCCCCAACACACATACACACACTCTCGTGCCCCTCCGTCTCTCTCTCTCACACACACACGTGCTCTCTCTCCACGCCCCCCCATCACTCGCGCACACCCACTCTCCACCCCACCAATCACTCACACACACCCTCTCCACCCCCCCAATCCCTCGCACACCCTCCCCCCCCCCACCTTCATCCACTCACTCTCTCGCCCCCCTGCACTCACTCACTCTCTCCCCCCCCACCCTCCAAGAGACACATACACAGACACACGCCCACCCCTGAATCTATGGGGTGAATCTGCATTTGCAGATACATTTTATTTTGTTCAAAAAGCACACAATTTATAAACAGTCAGTCAATATGGCATTTAATAAATTCCTACTTTAGAAATAAAACAGTTTGACTCCAAACCAAAACATACACAGATTGTAAACAAGGTCTCACACCTAACATGCATTGTCTGACCTAAAATGTCACCTCTTCTTTACACTGATAAAACCTTTAGTTCTCTCAGGGCTGAGTTGAAAGGAATTCGGGGATTTACATATACGTATTAATCAATTAAAACCCTCTAACTGATTAAAAATTTAACTGCATCTTAGGTTTGTTTAGCACTTTCTCATCAAAGGTGTAAATCTTTGATCTTTTACTTATACATTCTGTGTCTGATACTAACTCTTTCACTAACACCTGAAGGAGGACTGAGGCTCCGAAAGCTTGTGTTTTCAAATAAACCTGTTGGACTATAACCTGGTGTCATGTGATTTCTTTGAACTGTGGGAGGATTAATGAAAACATTACAACTGTACTCAGAGTGGATATTTCTTAAAGAATGTCCAGTGAAGCTATATGGGTGGAACTCAAATAAGAAAAGGATGAAGGTAGGTAAGTCCCCCGGGCCTGATGGGACTTATCCAATGATTCTATGGGAAGTGAGGGAAGAGATCGCAGGGCCGTTGGCGATGATCTTTTCATCCTCACTGTCCACGGCTTCCAGTGCCGGAAGATTGGAGAGAGGCAAACGTCATTCCCTTGCTCAAAAAAGGGAATAGGGATAACCCGGAAATTACAGGCCAGTTAGTCTTACGTCAGTGGTGGGCAAATTATTGGAAAGGGCTCAGAGATAAGATTTATGATCACTTGGATAAGCACAGTTTGATTCGTGATAGTCAGCATGGATTTGTGAGGGGTAGATCATGCCTCACAAAGCTTATTGAATTACTTGAAGAGGTGACCAAGCACGTGAATGAAGGTAGAGCAGTGGATGTGATATACATGAATTTAAGTAAGGCGTTTGATAAGGTTCCCCATGGTAGGCTCATGCAGAAAGTAAAGAGGCATGGGATAGGGGCAAATGTGGCAGATTGGATTCAGAATTGGCTGACCCTTAGAAGACAAAGGGTGGTAGTGGACAGAAAATATTCAACATGGTGCTCAGTTACGAGTGGTGTACCACAAGGATCTGTTCTGGGTCCTCTTCTATTTGTGATTTTTGTAAATGATTTGGATGTAGAAGTGGAAGGGTGGATTAGCAAATTCGCGGACGATACAAAGGTGGGTCATGTTGTGGATAGTGCGGAGGGCTGTTGTAGATTACAAAAGGGACATTGATAGGATGCAGAGCTGGGCTGAGAAGTGGCAGATGGAGTTTAACCCTGAAAAGTGTGAGGTGATTCATTTTGGAAGGACAAACTTGAAAGCAGAATACAGGGTTAACGGAAAGATTCTTGGCAGTGTGGAGGAGCAGAGGGATCTTGGGGTTCATGTCCACAGTTCTCTGAAAGCTGCCACCCAGGTGGATAGAGTTGTTAAGAAGGCGTATGGTGTGTTAGCTTTCATTAATAGAGGGATTGAGTTCAAGAGCCGTGAAGTTATGCTCCAGCTATACAAAACCCTGGTTTGGCCACATCTCGAGTATTGTGTCCAGTTCTGGTCGCCTCATTACAGGAAAGATGTGGAAGCATTGGAAAAGGTGCAGAGGAGATTTACCAGATGTTGCCTGGAATGGAGGGAAAGTCTTATGAGGAAAGGTTGAGAGCGCTAGGGCTTTTCTCTTTAGAATGACGAAGGATGAGAGGTGACTTGATAGAGGTGTACAAAATGATCAGAGGTATAAATAGAGTGGACAGCCAGAGATTTTTTCCTAGGGTGGAGGTAGCTATTACGAGGGGGCATAGTTTTAAAGTGAGTGGAGGTAGATATAGGGGAGACGTCAGAGGTAGGTTCTTTACTCAGAGTGGTAGGGGCATGGAACGCATTGCCGGAGAAGGTAGTGGAGTCGGCTTCATTAGGGGCATTTAAACGGCTATTAGATAGGCATATGGATGATAGTATAAGGTAGCGGTGGAGGTTAGATAGACCTTAGGTTTAGGGTAAAAGTTTGGCACAACATCGTGGGCCGAAGGACCTGTACTGTGCTGTACTGTTCTATGTTCTATGATCACTTTGATCGGATTGTACTGTAGGCACTCCCGAACAGTCCAACGCATCATCCTCTGACATTTTCGCCACCTACAATCAGACCCCACTATCAGAAAGATATTTCCCTCCCCACTCCCTCCACTTTCCACAGGAACTGTTCATTCTGTGACTCCATCGTCAGCTCTACACACCCCACCAACCCCTCCACCACACCTGGTACCTTTCCCTGCAACCTCAAGAATGCTACACCTCCCCTCTCACTTTCGTCCAGGGTCCCAAATAATCCTGTAGAGCTGGTTATCTCAGCTTCTCCAGCATCTGCAGTTCCTACTATCTCTCCCCCAAACAATCCTTCCAGATCTGGCTGAGATTCACCTGCACTTCATCCAACTTGATCTATCGTATCTGTTGCTCCTGATGTGATCTCCTCTACCTCGGGGAGACCAAACGCAGACTTGGGGACCAGTTTCCAGGACATCTGTGCTCTGCATGCAGCAACCAACCCACCCGACCTTCCAGTTGCCATCCACTTTAATTCCCCTTCCCACTCCCCTGGTAACATGTCCATCCTTGGCTTCCTCCGCTATCAGAGGTGAGGTCAAAATGAACTGGAATATTTCACTTTGAAAGCTTACAACCCACTGGGCTTAACATTGGCTTCACTAGCTTCAAAGTTCCTCCACCCCCAGCGTTACCCCATGTCTAGCCCTCCCCCTCTCTGACCTGCCTAACCTGTCCATCTTCCTACTCACCTGTCTGCTCTACCCTTTCTATGAACCAATTCCAATAACCCCCTACCTGCATCCACCTATCATCATCTCTCCTACCCTTCCCCCAGCCCCACTTCCCTCCCTCTATTTATTTTTGGGGTCCCCTCTCCCTCCCCAGTCTCGACGAAGGGCTTTGGCCTGAAACAATGACATTCCTGCTCCTCTGATGCTGCCTGACCTGTTGTGCTTTTCCAGCCTCACACCTATAGACTCTGGAGTATCTTGTGCAGCTTTGGTCTCCATGCCTCTGGAAGGATTTAATAGCCAGAAGGACAGATCAACAAAGGTTCACCAAACTATTTCTTGAGACGGAGGGATTGTCAAAAGACTATTTAGACTGGGTCTTTTTATTCTCTGAAGTTTAGAAGAATGAGAGGTGAACTCGTTCAAACATATAAAAGGTCTTACAGGACTTGTCAGGGTAGATGCAGAAAGGACATTCCTAGAACTAGGGACAAAGTCTCAGAATAAGCAGGCCATTTAGGACTGAGATAAGGAGGAATTCATTCACTTAGAGGGTTGTGAATCTTTGGAATTCTATTCTCAAGGGTGGGGGAGATTCAGTCATCAAGTATGTTCCAGACTAAGATGGATAGATTTCTATGAGTTATAGAGGTACACAGATAGAGCAAGAAAATGGTGTTGAAGCAGAAAATGAGCCAAAAGTGGAATAAAAGGGGATACATGGCCTTGGCCTGCTCCTCTTTCTAATGTTTTTAGAAAAAGCAAATTTCTGCCATTTAATCCGGTAGTGTATCAAGATAGGGTGGACATGCCTAGGCACTTCACAGAATACTTTGAGACAAAATGTCACACACAGTTCAGGCAGATAACCAAATGCTTGGAAAGAAAGAGGTATGTTTTACAGCAACACATTAAAAGAAAGAAAGCAAGGTAGATCGGTTTAGGGAGAGAACACCCAGAACTTAGTGCCTGGGGGACTGCAGCTAACTTTCTTTTAAGGAAGACAACAGATACCACATTAAAAACTGGACACACACACAGCAAGTCTCTGGCTGATTGAAATGAAATATTAGATAATTAAAATTTACTCTTAAGGAAACAGTTTACCTTTTGGAGCCTTTGCCTCTGGTACCAACCGTAGAAATGGGCAAGTGATCATTTTTTCTTTCCATATCTACCAAATTGTAGATAGTTTTTTGACAATTAAGGACATCATCATCAGTTAGGCTCTCCTTCACGATTAGGCTAGCTAAAGGTACAACCTGGACATCAAAAAAAGGTCAGTAAATTGAACAACCAGGAAATTAGCAGCTTCAGACATACCAGGGAGGAACAGTTTGAAGTTAATCTTTTCTTTCAATCAACTCCCCACAACTTCTCAACTTGCATTAGCCTATAACCCATTGTGGATAGCGGATCATGCTGTCTTGCAAGGAGAGACCATTAACAGGATAGAAATATATTGAAAAAGTCAGAAATCCCAAATATGTCCAATCCTGATCTATACTGCCTTAAATGAATTTCAATGGTTGATTTCTTGGTGGTCACATTTAAAGTGCCTCTTAAACATGAGCATAACACAAGAACTTATACAGTGCTGTGCCAGATACCGAAATGAATGCTGCCAGCTAAACATAAGCTTTCCTAGTTAAAGCCCTTTCCCAGGACTTGTGCATAAAATCTAAGCGGATATTCTATTGTAGCAGTAACTACGTACTATAGTGTCAAAAGGTACTGATCTCAATCATGGCTTTGTTAGGCCACTTCTAGTAGATTAGCCAACTATTGGAATCCAATAGTAATATTTGAGGGAGGAGACAGTTTCCCTGTGTACTGGCCAACATTACCCCAACCTCAAAAACACAGCAACTGGTAACTCATCATTACTCTTTAAGTAATGTGACAGATACCGGGTAAATACAAGCTTGCCCATCTTGTGTTTAAACATGAACGCCCAACTTATTTTTTGCTGACCAATCGAGACATCTGTTACTTCATTTGAACTGATGAAAATTGAAGTTGGAGATTTGGTGTGCTTCTAGAAGAACACCCTTTATATTAAAATAACATTATATCTGTTGTAAAGAACTTCACATCCATAAATAATCATGATCCCAACAGAATCCACCCCACAACAGTTACCAACAAGATCTGAAAAACAAAACTGCTCAAAGCATGAAATTGCAAAATGCAGTAATTCCTCATGTAATATCTTAGTTATATTCTCTGAAAGCGCACTTTAAATGAAATAACTAAGTGAATCAAAGGTTCCCATCGGAATCAATGTCAAAGAGTGAGTTTGGTTTTTGTGGGTGGAAATGTCTGAAAGAACCTATGTACAAGTTGAAGTAGTGTACCATAAATGTACAGTGCTGTGCATTTCCAGCTGAAACAGCTTGTAAATAAATTGTTAAACATAAGAATCAGTGCTCAAATCCAAGTTAATGCCAGGTGATTGCTGTCATCCAAAATAACCTTAAAACCTGTAGAAACTTTCACAGAGAACATTTATTCTTTCAGTATTCAGGGTTCTCTATTTTAATTTGTCAAGTGAAGCAATGAGAGAGGAAATGCATACTGCGCACTTTTACAGGGATTCAAGTGACTTATCATTCACCCCCTCACATATTTAAGCAGCAAAGTAAAAGTCACCTCAGGCCAAATCTCTCAAAATAAAATAATAAGAACAGACTGTATTTCTTGAAATAAAATGGCATCCTTTAAAAATAACCTGTTGAAGTAAATATTACTGGAGTTAAGATGCCAATGTTAATTTTATACGAAGTAAACTGAGTGTAGAATGCTCTCTTCTGTGGAATAAGCAGTATATTGTTTCTCCCCTATTCCTGCCCTGAATCTCAAAGTTTTGATTCCCACCTTGGGAGGACTTGGAAGTAGGGTGATCAATGCGCACATGCAAACATCACCAAATTTAAGGAACATGGTGACTTTAAAACGGCTCCTTATTGCCTCTGCGGTGTCACTCAAATCAACACAGAGCAGGGAATTACTGTACGTCAGGAGGAAGTGCTCTTAGCTTGGTCTACTTCTAACAACTTTTATTTCCAATAGGTGAACCATGTGTCATAAAACAATCACCGAAGAAAGAGAAAAGATTAATTCTGGTTCAAAAAAGTTATTGGCTTTGTACTTAAAATATATCTGTCGTAATGCTAAAATGTTAAATAGTGCTGTTTCCAACGCTTTGAAAGTTGCACAGTTAAGTTGGACATTGATCCTATTACCTGAGGTTGAACACCCACCTGCATGCTCAACTTGTGAAAATTACATGTGAATCAACAGAAATTTTCTTACAGCCTGCATGTTGAAGATTGTAGTCTGAGATATAATCATTGGCCAATAACGTGTATGCCTCTCAAGCTGGGACTTCGCCCTCTCCAGTGGAACTTCCATACTTCCATCCATCAGATAGCCCCTTTCCATTACAGGAGTTAATCGGTTTTCTCTCATGAATTCACCAAAATCCTAGTAAAACAAAACCAGCACCGTGAACCCAGTACACTGGATGTGATTCTGATCTTCAGGATCTACTTTCTTGAATTAGTAGTCTCTTTTTAAGATGAGCAATTATTACAACTCCAATGTTTGACTGTAATAAGAGGATAGACAGCTGATACCAAATTTTATCAAGACCAACAATTACTTCAGCTTTAACTATCCCTATAAGATTAGGAGTCTAGTGACAGAACTTAATCTAATTTGCCAGCTGGAGATGTGAAACAATAAACTGACATTTGGATTCTTCTTGCCCCATTTATATTACACATTATTTTTGCCTTAGACAAAGGAGTATCTTGCACAGAATCCAAAATCTAACAGAAAAATAAGTGCAGGGAGCCAGTCTGCTGACTCAGTCGTTAACAGTGAGGCATCACAGAACCTAAATCACGAGTTCCAGTCTGATTCTTGTTCTGTGTTGAGTCAGCTAGGATAGCAGAGCAGCGTAACAATGGCCTTTGGGTTATCAAGCTGAGGGGGACAAGAATCGGGTAAGGTCCCCATTCCTGATCATTACCCAGCAATCCACACTGGAAATGGCTAGGGATCAGACAGAGAGGAAGGAGGGGGATTGACTCAAACAGCCTACTTATGCACAACATCTCATACGAGAAGAATAGCTGCTGGCCAAGGCACCAGAAAGCACTTAGTGGCTATACCCCAACATCAGTGTCTATGGGAGGGGAAAAACCTATGACCATTTCTCCCTTCAAAAGTCAGCACGCTTTAGTGTATCCTGTACTGTTAATCAGGTCCAATTTGATACTTTTGATAACCCAAGAAGATCAGAGAGGAATGTTGTAGGCCGTCCCTCAGTTTATTTGCATTTTTTTGATTACATGTTTGATGAATGAGGAGTGTATGGACAGGCTGGGGTCTGCAAGATTTTTACTCAGGTGCCATTTTTGTAGATTTGTATGGATCTAGGTAGAGTCACCCAAATTTCCAGTTTAAATGGAGCATAAGTAAATCTCAGGTTCTTATTTGCAGACACACACCATGCAGAGAATCAATGAAGTGATTCTGCATTCAACTTAGCTAATGCAGATACAGTACATTGAGCATTACTGCATTTGAAGACAAGTACTTTGTGCACCATTAAGAGAATGCATTAAGGGATTCAATTCTTGACACAATCAAAACTGAATTAGAATTTGATTAGAAGACAGAGGCGATCAGTTTCAAATGAAAGAAGGTTAAGGCTTTTTATAAGTCTCCTGAAGGTTATTTTAAGAATGGATGCAAATTTGTTCAAGCATCAAATTTTTTCCATTGTAGATTGCTAATTTAGTTTTTAAGCAGCCAGTCCACACTATTACTGATATCAGGACATAAAAACAAATTAATTATAAATACATATTTATAATTGTATAAGTGACTAACCGTAATCCGGTAATCAGTAACCCTTCCTCCACACCCTTCACTAATCGATGGGGGGTCCTCCAGAATGGAGCGAACACTGCTTAAAACATGCAGGAAAATCTCACCACCGTGGCTGCAAAGCATGTGACTAATCACTTTGGAACCTGACTTACGAGGCTGTTCCAACAAAACTGATCGACCTGACATATACAAAAGGACATAAACATCAGTTTCTTATATTCAAAAAAACATCAGTTTCCTACATTGCTACATTACAACAATAACCCACTTCAATGGTACTTCATTAACTGTTCTGTGTTTCAGAAAGTCCTAAACCTTTGAAAAGTGGCAGTGAAATGCAAGTGCTTCCTTTTAGCAACAGTGCACATAGGCAAAGCTGAATTTGATTTACAAAGGGGTAGACTATAAACACAAACACTAAAGGGATCATGCATGCAATTAATGTTGCAACACATTACACAAGCAATGCATATGTAAAATAGAGGAGGAGAACCAAGCTCTCAGTTTCAGCTAAGAATTTTCATCAGCTTGATTTATCTAGCTATGAAAATTATCCACACAGACATGCATGGACTGGGATCCTCAAGGTTGCCACAACTTCAACTCAGCTCCCTCAAAAACAAAAAAAGGATGTGTTGAAACACACCCACAGTTCTGTTATCAGCGGAAACAGGGTTAGCAGGATTTACTCAAACTGGAACAAACTGGATCATTTAGCTAGTTTTATTGCAAGGTTCAGAAGAGTATGTAATACACTACTATTTCCTCTGAATTCTCTCTTCTACGATGCACACATGACACAATAAGTCTGTACAAGAAATTAATGGCCTAAGCAACTTCAAAAAATACACGAGACACCTTGAAACAACAGAGATACAAGTCAAATATATTACATGAACAACTGAACTCATAACTCTATTAGTGTTGCAGACTTCAGAGTAAATAACTTAAACATGGAATAGATTAGTAAGAACTATTAAATTGAAAGCTAAACACTTTATTTATAGAATGTTTAAGTAGTTAGCTAGGGAAAAAAGTTGGGCCTATAAAGAACATCTTCATGTGGAGACAGAGGACATGGTTTAAGTCAGTACTTTGCACCGGTCTTTGAAGCAAAGTTTTGACTGAAAGAGGAAGAAGCTGTGACAGGATGATAATAGGCAGAGAAGATGGACTAAAAATGATTAGCATTCCCGTTGATGCTACGTTACTGGTCATGATGGAAAGTATCTATTAAGAAGTCTGAGCTGTTGATAAGATTACATTTCAATTTAACATTCTGCTAACTATTTACACGATTAAGCTTAGCACAAGGTTGCACACAGAATCATTTCTTTCCAAAATCCGCTATCAAGTGAGATTTTACATCACTACTGATGTAGGCTGACTACTTATGCATTCGAGTATCAACACTTAACAATGATCTGGGACAAAGACAACAAATTTTTATAGAAAAATGAAGGACAGCCAGCATGGATTTGTTAAAGGTAAATCATGTCAAATTAAATTGACGAATGCCTTTGGTAAGGCTTTAGAGAAGAATGATCAAGATTATGCAGTAGATGCCGCATACGTGGACATTTGAACACCGTAGAACATGGAACAGTACAGCACAGGAACAGGCCCTTTGGCCCATGATATTGTGATGGACATGACGCCAAATGAAACTAATCCTTTCTACCTGCCCTTGGTCCATATCCCTCCATTCCTTGCATATTCATGTGCTTATCTAAAAACCCCTTAAATGCCCCTATTGTATCTGCCTCTACCACCACCCCTGGCAGCGCGTTTCAGACTCCTTCCATTGTGTAAAAAAACTTGCCCCTCACATCTCCTTTGAACTTTCCCCTTCTCACCTTATATGCATGCCCCTTCGTATTAGACATTACAGCTCTGGGAAAAAGATTCTGACCATCAACTCTATTTATTCATCCCACAAGTTTATGACTTCAATCCAGTCTCCACTCAGCCTCCGCTGCTCCAAAGAAACAATCCAAGTTTTTCTAGCCTGTCCTTACAGTTCATACCCTCTGGTTTGGACAAAATGCCACATAGGTGGTCTGTTAGGATGGAAATTCGTATTAAGAGGGATGTAGCAAAATAGAAATGGAATTGGGTCAGTTGTGGGAAGCATGTGTTTTACAGACCATAGGTCAGTTTGACTGGTGTCTCTCTCCACCAGCACCACCATCCAAATCTTCACACCCAATGACTTGTCAGGATGTGGAAAGTACTACTTGGTGGAAACAGCTTCCAAACCTTTCCAACAATATTAAACAGAATTTGGACAGTATTTGAGCAGGTGGAATTGACAAGGCTATAGATAAAAGTGAGGGGCATGGGGATAACTATGACCACTGTTTCAAAGAGATAGCACAAGCCTGAGAAACTTAATGGACTTGTGCTGCAAATACCTATGATTCAGGGACAGGGGAATAGTTAGATAATTCACCCGGAATACGGTCATGTTTGCAGAGATACCAGTCACAAAGAAAAAGAATATGTAACTGACAAGAAGGTATTCACTATGGTCACTATCAAGAGCCAGAAGGGCATGTGCAAACATGTTGTCAGGGTAATAACAATGCAGCTAAAGGGGAAAACACAGTTAAACATGGAGGAGAGCTGGTGGTCATGACTTAATTTGGAAACAATAACATCGCGGAAGATGAAGAGTCCTACTAAGAGAGTATTATAAACAAGTCAGGACTGTGAAGGAAGTAATCGACATAATTCACTGAACTGCATGCTAATTGGCAGATGGACAAACAGTTCAGGAAAGCAATGGTGTAGCTGATCAGTGTATAGAGGAAGTGTTTTTTTACCCCTATTTTCACAGGGCACTAGTGCCAGTAATGGGACAGAAAGGAGATGGACTATGGGGCTGAGCTGTGTTTAAAAACAGGCTGGAATTGAGGTTCTAGTAGAATAAACTTGCCTGGGTGAAAAAACTTCCAACCAGTAGGAGGGATAGGACTGAAAAGAAATGTTAACATCTCTTTTCCTTATTTTAATAGTGAATATGAAGGTCTAAGTTGGAAAACTGACGTAATATAGATGATTAAATTCCTCTGCTTAAAATGTTCTCCTTTTCAACAGCATTTGACAAGATAGCGAGATGGCTTTGCCTACAGATTTCTCCACAGCTAGTATCAATGCTCCTTCTCAACTTTCTAGTCGTGGGTGTCATTCAAACAAAGCAAGCCAAGCAAAAATACTTTATTCACTGGAAAACTTTAGCCAGGTTTCATTAAGATGACTTGAAACAAAACTTATCTACAATGTATCCCCTTCGAATAAAGGGACTGGGAAAAAATACTCAAATGTTGTGAAAAACTGGTCTCACAAATAGCTTTTAACTCCCTGAGCTCAACTCTGGGAAATCTCAAAATGACTGTTCAACTTCTGCCACGTACAAATTCTTGGAACAAACAACACTCACCGGTGGCACCAAATAATGACCAAAACCAGATTGTCAGTGAAAAGTTAAGAGATAACAAGTGAGTGATGGGCTGGGAGATCCGGCAGTGACCTAAATAAAGGCAACTTCACTTAGTAATTCTGGCTAAGCACTACGTAAAAGCTGGAAAAGGAAAAGGCATTTAACTGCCAACGAGTCTGTTTTCTTTTAAAATGGTAGGAATTTTTCTCATAAATCCTTAAAGAATGGATCAAAGGTGACCGAGACCAAAATCTAAATACTGTAATCAGTCATCTTTACTGAAAAGGCATTAGAATAGTTTAGGAAAAGACCATGAGTTTGTGAAACTAAATGCAGAAATTGTGCTTTAACACCCGAGGGAAGGAGCAAGCTTGTGACCTTTCATATTCTGATGAAAGGTCTGAAACCGTTACTGTGTTTGTCTCTCCACAGGTGCTGCCACAACCTTCCAGTGTTGCGAGTTTTTATTTCAGGTTTCCATCTACAGTATCCTGCTTTTCAAAGTGTGGGTGTGGTATGTAAAATGAGAGAGGGTATTTCCAAAAGTGGCTGCAATGATCCATCTGTGCACAGTTGCACCTCTGACATCATGACAGCTTATTAGATTTCAAATTAGTTGTATGATCTGGGAAACACAAGCACAGTGGTGTCTTAAAGACGGAGAGGGTAGTGGAGTCGGCCTCATTAGGGGCATTTAAGCGGTTATTAGACAGGCATATGGATGATAGTATAAGGTAGGGGTGGAGGTAGATAGACCTTAGGATTAGGGTAAAAGTTTGGCACAACATCGTGGGCCGGAGGGCCTGTACTGTGCTGTACTGTTCTGTACTGTTCTATGTTCTAAATTTCTTTAAAACTGGAGACCCTGGTTTCAATGAAAATGATTAACTGTCAGTCAATGTCACAACATCTCTAAACACAGTTCAGAAGTACAGACTTACAAAGAAATTTACAGACTGTTGTGTTTTTTCTGAATCTTACAACTAGCTTAAAACATAACACAAGAAAGTGTTGCAGCCTGGTTATTTGTTTACTGCTTGGAATTAACAGACACTGTTGGTTTAGCCACTTGTAGTCAGGTGTAACTCTCCCACTCTGGGTCTGCAAGACTTCACATCGAAGTGGCATTGCCCCTAAATGCAGCCTTGGAGAAAAATACAGGACATTGGAGGTACAGTACATGCTTAACTTAAAATGCCTTTTAAACAGAGGAAGTACAAAGTCAAAGTTCAAGTGTTAATTAAGCCCAAACAGATACAGGAAAATGTTTTAAGCATTTCAGCTGCAGAAGTGTATGAGAACAAAGGGACAAATTGGCACAGGATACCTTTGCAGACGTATGTGCAAGGTTAGATTAGATTCTTCAGCAAATGAAGCAGGGAGGAGAAGGAAAGATTGTCGATTCAGAGCTGCTGATAAATCAAATCACATGATTATGCCATGCAGAGATATCAATTAATAAACTGAAACCTGTGGTCAGGAGGTAGCCATGCATTTAAGAGGAGCAAGGTGCCTATCAGGATTGGAGAATAATTTTAGGTTGCAGTGGTCAGCCCATTAAGAAAAACATGCAAATTTACATTATTACAACATCATTTGCAACCCCGGGATCAAAGGGCTATACAGCCAATCAAGTACTTCTGAAGCATCGTCAGTTGTAATATGGGAACAAAAAGCAGCCAATTCAGACACAGCAAGTTCCAACAAAAAGTGATAGCACGTACAGCAATAGATTTTTTTTTAAAAAAGTGATATTTCTGGATAATTTCCTTGATTATCTTCAAAATAGTACCACTGGATCTTTTACTTTTACCTGAAGGGCAGCTGTCTCATCTAAAAGTGTACCGGTTCCATTGCAAAGCACTAGTGTATCAGCTTGGATTTGTACTCATGTCTCTGAAGCAGGAGGTGAACACATAACTTTCTGACTCTGGGCCAGAATTCTTATTACTTAGCCTTGGAAACAGTAGGGTTGGAGGGTAAAGTCACTTGGGATAAAACTTTGTTCAGAACAAGTAAACAAAATGTTCTTTTGCTTTGAGAATGTAAGTAATAGGAACAGGAGAGAACCATGTGACTCCTCCTGCCTGCTCAGTCATACAATAAGATAATGGCTGATCTAATTGTGGCCTAAATTTCACATTAATGCTTAAGATCAAAAATCTGTCTTACTCTGCCATGGGTATATTTAGACCAGGTTCCAAAGATTAACTACCTTCTGGGAAGGAATCCCTCCTAACCTCATGTTTAACTGAGAGACTCCTTGTAACTCAGACTTCTAGTTCTAGACTCATCCACAAGAGGAAACATCGTCTCTGCATCTATCCTGTCAAATCCTCTCAACCTTATTTTAAAAAAATACTTCTCATTCACAAAGAAAAGCTCAAATAATTAATTTTGAATGGATGAAAACGAAATGGGACAGAAAATACAGGTTCTAATGAGAGGGAATGGTTATCCTGTCTTCTGTCTTTTCAAATGCAAATGGTGAAATACAAAAAAAACTGAAAACAACGCAGCTTTTAATCTGTTCAGAACCAAAAGAAATGCAGAGACACAGAGATGCCAGTTACACTGAGATAATGATCATTAATTAGTGCTTATTTAGACCAAGTTGAAACACCAGGAATTATTTAAACAAACTCCAGGAGAATTCCTACAATAGAGTGTGTTTTAATTTTCTCGAAGGCTTTTGAAATGTATTTATAACTTAGACACCAAATTTTCCAATTTCCTCAATAATGAATCATCCATTTTAAATGGACTGCATTAATATTCCAACTGGAAAAACTAGTCTTTGTAAATGTAGGATTCATGAACAGTAAATATGTATCGATAACATAGGTAATGGGGAGCAGTTACGGTAACAAATGTAGTTATTTTAAATCAATCTGTTTGGACATGGACTTCTGGCCCAGAATTAGGGACACCACCACTGTTAGACAATGATTGTTGTAAACCAAATACAACATAAATCTCCTACCTTTTTACCATTAAAACGTATTGATATCTTAGAAACCAATACTTCAGTCAATTAAACTCTCGTTGTGAAGACTGTTTAGAAGAAATACTTTAAAATTACAGTTGGTAATCATATCTCCCTAGTATTTGGCATAAGGTGATTCTGAACATGAAAAGGGTTTTTACTGTGATGGAGTGGGTCAACAGCCTGGTTTTTGCAGTTAACAATGAAGTTAGAGTGTTCACCGCTAACATCGAAGGATTCCACCCGCAAAGATCTAGAGAATGTGTGACTGGAATTGCACCCTTCTCTGTCACAGTTTAAATCTGGCACCAAATCAAGGCAGCAGCAGCACTGACAATAAGTAGGTATTCAACCAAACTAAAGTACTTGCACACAGTAAACTATGAAGCTAAAAAAGTAATTAAAACTTGAACTTCTAGTTTACATTTTCAGGTACAGCATTAAAAATGTATAACTATTAAAACAGAAACAAGACAAAAAACTAAAAAGGTTAAATTTTTAAAAAGCAGATTTGTAAAATGATTGCACAGAACTTTGACATTCCACAAACATAAAAGTAGGTTTTCAGGGCCAGAGTATACCATCAAAGCCTCCTTTGCACCTCATTCAATAAGGTGCTGCTTTTTCCAGGATTTTACAGCCAGCTAAACAGGGTTGGAGTGGAAGCTCTTGTCAATTCTAATTATAAGGAAAATGGCTTCTGCGGAACTATGACAGCAAATGCTGACATTACCAGCACACAGTCCTGACTCTTCTGTTTGGGACAACTTTGTAGGTAAATATTATGGCTTTGTCATGATACTTTCAAATTGAAGGCAGAAAATATCAAATATAGAAAAATTACCTACCATTCAGTAAGAAGTTTGTTAGGCAAGAGGAAGGTCTGCTGTTTACATCGACAGGTGATATTCTGTATGCCCCGGTGCAATAGTGCAACTCTGAAAGAAGTAGCATATAATAGCAAATAAAAACAGGTGACATAAATTAAAATAACAATTCTGTTCAGAAGTAAAAAGATGCATTCTCTCACTGAGTCAAAGTTTTCCACCTTCATGTGGCAAAACACCTTAAAAAAAGTGACTGGAAGAACAATTCAAGGATAGTCAGACAAAACAGCTTAACTTGTCCAGATGCAGAAAACTGCACTGAGATACAACACAATAGCTTGCTGGTCGTTAAAATGGGTTTTGGGACAAAACAATAATGAAATTTTGCAATAAAAGCTAAATATGTGCATGATTTACAACGGAACACATCAAGCAGTTCTTGCACCCAAGATTCCCTCCACTCCTTCCCCTTGACTTATCAAGTGTTTTTTAAAATTCCTTTTTGGGTGTTAGTGACCAGCATTCATTGCCCATTCTTCACTGATGCACCCTTTCATCAACGTAGCGAAGCTGCTCCACAGTGATAAAGGAACGGCAACACAGGTACCAGTATGATGTGTGACTGAAAAGAGATATTCAAGGTTGTTACGCATGAAGCTATTGTCCTGGTTCTTCTTAGGGATGCAGAGCTGGGAGGTGCTGTTGAATATGATCAATTCTATATACTTCCACAATTGAGTGAAGAAGAGTTCGAATTACTCCACTCTCACTTCCAATGTTGTTGCAAATATTTTGGGGGGTAGAATTTTAACCAATCACTGACCTCACAATAGAAAGAGGAACACAGATTAAATGAGCAAATTTTTGAAACCTCTTTCAGCTTGGCCTCAGGGACATACATTATCATGGCTGTGGAGCCCTACTGTGTACCCGTGGCAACCTAGAATGAGTTGTCTGATTTTACTGGGACAGGCAGCATACTAGCTTGCCTTTTGTCCTCACTGGACTAGAAGCACTTGCACTTGAACTGCCATAGCATTCAAGGCTTCGGGCGATGGGATTACAATAGACAGATGCTCAATGACCAGTGCGAACATGATAGAGTTTTTATTTCATGAAAAAAAAAGGCCCTAAGACTGTATGTTTGTACACTTAGCTGCTCAAAGGCAACAATGCACTACTCAAGATTGCTCAAGATTGTTCATTTCTTCCCAGGCTTTTGTGGAGATGCTACATTTCCTGAGGGTCCTGCCTTCAAAGAACCTTTGAATCTTACTCTTGGTCTACCTCATGAGTGGAGTCCATATTGAAGTTGTGAAATGTGAATGCCTTGGGGATTTTATCATTAGTCATAGGTTATTACATGTCTACTCTTGCTGAGCTGGGCTCTGATGTAAAGATTAGATAAGATAGATAAGGAAAATCTCTTTCCATCATCTGATGATAGAAGGATGAGAAGACGCAAGCTTAAGATTTTGGACAAGAGTTGAGGGAATGTGCAGGAGAACTGTTTTGCACATACAGTAGTAATGACCTGGAACCTGCTGCCCACAAAAGGTGGGGAAAGTGAGAATGATGCATTGAATTGTTTGAACCCACAGACCTTTAGAAGAGCGTGTGGGAGAAGATAACTGGGACAGGCACAAATTCAGCTTCCTGACATGGATTAAACTTAATTTCTCAAACTTTCAGGTGGGTTGCATTACCCATTTTGCGTGCATCCACACACTCAGCTATATATTAGGTAGTGTGAACCTTGACAGGCTAGCCTTCTTCCTCCAAGCTCTGGTGAGTACAAACATTTTTCAATTATTTGGATCCTTCAAAGGTATTCCTTTGAGCAAATGATTATAGGGGAATCAGCTCTCCATGCTGATCAGGTCATGAGAAATCTCAAGTCACATGCAGCCTGGCTTGTTGCTAAACACAACAGTTTTATGTGTGAAGTCTGACCAAGCCAACAAGCGTGCCCAAGCAAGGCAACAACATGGCTAATGCCAGCACATCTCATTAAGGCAAACAAGGAGATTCAACTCAAAAAGGTCATCTTTTTTAACTCTGTCTTGGTCTCATGCAAGCCTTTGGTGAGCAACATGTGTATGTTCTTCTGGCTATGATGAAAATCAGTAACACGGTAGTGCGGGAGCTACTGAATTGTAGATCTTGTTGTGTTTTGAATGTGTATCCTGGTAGATATGCGAGGGGCAGTACCACTGTGGTCCGGGCAGTGATTAAGTGCAACTGCAAATAAGTGACGAACATTGATTTTGCACGAGACAATGGATGGTGATGTCTGGTACTCAATCTCCTGTGTGATAGGCCTCCACACTGTCAACCTTACAATGCTACCTCTCACTCACTGCCACATGAAGCTTTGAGAAGACAGTGATACATACCCCGGTAGAGTGTCACAGATTATTCACTCTGGTGAGGCACTGGAATCTGATTCTCTCTAGCACTGACATCTGCAGCCACCTCCATCTGGACTTCCTTCATGAGGTGGAATGGCCTCCTGTTGCCATCCCTAAGCAAAGAACTTGCCTTCTTTCCTGGACAGTCTTCAGGAGAATCTCTTGGGAGGAGTCATTAAAGCATGGTACCACTTTCTGCCTGGTCTATGATACCTGCATGGGTGACTGGGGTGATCAGCAGAGGTTGAGCTGCAGAAAGTGAAGTGCTCTCTGGCTTTCTTCTAAATAGAATACCCAGATGTGGGAGCCTTCAGAACTTGATGCCCAGAAAATTTATCATTTTACTGGCATATGCACGAGCAGAGGAGAACTTAATCATGCAGAAGACCCTTATCCAGCCCATTGCGGAAGTCCCTCCTGCTTTTACACCCAACTCCACAATCAGTCTCCCAAAAAGAAAATTCAACAAGAAACTGGATGGATACCGAAGGAAATTAACTTGCGGGGGCGACATGGATTGAGCAGGGGTTTGGGAGTGACTGGACTGCATCGTGGCAAGCCAGCATGTACTCCTTTAAGGAGGAACAGGGTTTAAAATCTCTACAACTGCAACTTTTAAAAAAATGATTCAATAGATATATAACTTTCACTAGTTTAATTTTACTTGATACTTACCAACATTATTAGTTCGCGGGGTACACCATTTTAATGTCACTGTATCTTTGACAGCACTATCTCTATTGCTACTGCCTAAATGTGGATCAACTGCAAGATAAAACAGAAGATAGCATTTTGCTTGAACAATTAAATTTCAAAACATTTACAGCAAACTAAGATTCCATCTTTATACTCTAGAAGATGAGAGGTATCAAAAAAATAGAAAAGATTACTCTAAAATATAAAATGAAAATTCCTTTCTTGCAAGTGTTCAATTAGAATTTATTCCAAATAGAGTTGGATAATTTAACCACAATTATTGCAGCCAACCTTTAAACAATTGTCTTCTATATCAGTCATATGCAGGAGAATAATGTGCATGTTCCAAAGCTCGCTCTATGGCTCCCATCAACAATTCTGGAATTAGTGAACAGGAAATTATATTGGATTGAGTGTATATTTGCTGGATAAGAAAACGTATAAATCTTTAATTTATGCAAAACTAATTTAGCTTAATTTAGATTGTAACCGGTACTTGGCATTAAAGTAAAATCTGCAATTTAAAATCTTGCAGTTGTGAGCTTTAAGCAGGTTTATTTTCAAGGGGTGCATTGGAAGAGGAGCCTAACTAAGAGTCAGTTGAAACCGGATCCTCATCAACTACGTAATTTAGGATATCTGGTCATCATGGGCAAGTTGGACTGAAGGGTCTGTTTCCATGCTGTGCATCTCCATGACTAAATGAGCTATGCCTTCTGCGTTGGGAGCATAAGTCAGTAGCTAACAGTGTGACTTAGTACCTCAAAGAATGCAGCTTACGAAAGTGTGTCGGAGTTCAGCAGAGGAAGAAGAAAGGCATTTGGTTGCTTTTACCTAAACAAGCAGCTAATTTGACAGTGGGATTGGTGATTGCTTCTAGTCTTTAAAATAAAAGAAAGGTCTTTAGATTGTGCTTAGGTTTCTTATTTTTAAGAAACAGAGGGAAAAAAAACAAACTTGTCATGTATGCGATTAGTGATAGTGCGTAAAATACGTAAATAAAATAGTCTTCAGAGTGCAGATCTTCAAGTGAAGACTAACAAAGATAAAGGATATGACATTTCAGGGCAACTATTTTGAAGATTCCCAAAGAGAAACAAAAGGGGAAGAATGTGTTCAGGTTTTTTGAAAAGCAGCAAATAGGACAAAAGGGGAAGAAAAAAGGTAAAAAGGCAAAATTTGATGGCTCTTTACTTAAAGGCATGCAGTAATTAGAACAGAATAAATGAATTCATGACACAAATAGAAGTTAAATGGTATAATTTTATGGCCATTACAAAGACATGATTACAAGGAGATCAAAGTTGGGAATTAAATATTCAACAGCATGTGACTTTTGAAAGGGCAGGCAGGAAGTGGTGGAGTAGCTTTTTTAGTACAAAATGGATTAAGTATGACAACAAGAAATAATCCAGGATCAGATGATGTAGAATTCATGGGTAAGAAATAACAAGAGGAAAATGATACTGGTGGGAGTAGTCTATAAGCCTTCTAACAGTCACTGTTCTGTAGGGCAGAGAATAAAACCAAGGACATTAAAAAAGGCAGTACACCAATCATGGATGACTTTACTCCTAATGTTACTGGGAAAATCAAACTGGCAAAGATATTGTGAGGAGGAATTCATTGGGTATTTGAGAAAGTTTCCTGGAACAATATGTTCTGGATCTTCCACAGATCAGACTGGTTCTGAATCTGACAATGTGTAATGAGGCACACTTGGTAAATGACCTGAGTAATATATCCCGAGGGAACAGTGACCATAACATGGTAGAATTTAGCATTTAGTTTGAGAGAGGGGAACCTGGGTCAGAAAAAACTATGCTCAACTTAAATGCAGATAATTAAAAAGGGATGAGGGTTGAGTTGGCTAGACTGGATTGGGAAAGAAGCTTGGTAGAAAAAATGATTGAGGAGCAAATTTAGGAAAGTAGTTCATGACTAATAGCAAAGATATAACCCAGTGAAAAAGGAGGACTCTGGGAAGGGGATAAATCAACCATGGTTTACCAAGGATGTCAAGGATATTTAAAGAAAAAGCATACAATGTCGCAAAGATTAGTAGTAAACCAGAGGATTGGAAAGTTTTTAACAGCCAACAAAGGATGGCCAAAAAATAAGATAAAGAGGGAGAAAATAAATTAGGAGACCAAACTACAAAGTAATATAAAAACAGACAGTAGATCTTCTTAATATATATAAAAACAGAGGCACCAAAGTGAACATCGGCCTGTCAAAGAATGAGGCTAGGGAAATAATAATGGGAAATTGGAACTGGCAGAGGAGTTGAATAAATACTTTGCTACAGTCATCACAGCAGAAGATACTAACAGTGTACCAAAAACATTAAACCAAGTGGTAAAGTCAGGTTGGGGGGAAATAAATGTACTATCACTACAGAAAAAGTACTAGTCAAACTAACTGGACTAAAGACCTACAAGTCCCTTGGGCTTGGTGAGTTGCTTCCTAGGAATTTGAAGGAAGTATCTAGTGATATTGCATGCACTAGTTGTAGTCCTTCAGAATGTAAGGATTCCTGAAAAAGTGCCAGAGAATTGAAAAGCTGTCTATGTAACACCCCGAAACAAAAAAGGAGTCATAAAAATGGTAACATATAAGCCAGTCATCTTAACATCTGACACTGGAAAAATGTTAATGAAGTAATAGTAGAGCATTCAGAAATACATAATATAATCAAGCAGAGTTAACACGGCTTGACAGAGGATTGGCTAAGTAATGGAATACAGACAGTTAGGATACAAGGGGTCTTTTCAGGATGGCAACTTGTAACCAATAGTATGCCACAGGGACTAGTGCTAGAATCACAATTATTCACAGTATATATTAACTACATGAATGTTGGAAGTGAGTGCACTATTGCAAGGTTTGCAGTTAACACAAAAATAGGTGGAAAGTGAGGATGACAAAGTCTACAGAGGGATACAGACAGGTGGAATGAGTGGGTGAAAACTTGGCAGATGGAATAGATTGTGGAAAAACGTGAAGTTATCCACTCTGGCTGGAATAACAGAAGAGCTAAATACTATTTATACAGCAATAAACTAAAGTAAGCTGCAGCACAGAGGGATTTGGAGGTCCTTCTGCAAGGATCATCCAACTTCAGCAGGTAATAGGGAAGGAAAATGGAATGTTGGCCTCTATTTCAAAGGGATTGTGCATATAAAAGGGGTGTCTTTTTAGAACTGTGCAAGGTACTAGTCAGACCATAAATGGAATAGCCCAAACAGTTTCGAAGGACAAAAAACAGTGCAGCACAGAAACGGTCAACACGTGATTTCTTTCCAAACTAAAAACCTTTTGCCTCTATGCGGTCCATTTCTGTCTGTTCCCTGCCTATGCATATATCTATCAAGATGCCTCTTAAATGCTGCTAATATATTTGCCTCCACCACTTCCTCTGGCAACGAATTTGAGGCACTTGCCACCTCTGTGTAAAAACACTTGCCTCTCAGATCTCCTGTAAACTCATCTCCTTTCGCCTTACATCTATGTCCCCTAGTAACTGACACAACTACCCTGGGAAAAAGACAATGACTCTCCATTCTATTCTTGCCTCTCACCATTTTGTAAACTTCTACTAGGCCACCCCTCAACCTTTGATAAAGAAGTGAAATCAAACCAAATTTGTTCACTCTCTCCTCATAGCTAATTCCCTCCAAACCAGGCAACATCCTGGTCAACCTCTTTTGCACCCTCTCCAAAGCCTCCACATCCTTCTGATAGTGTAGCAAACAGAACTGTTCACAATATTCCAAAACATGGCCTAACTGAAGTTCTATACAGCTGCAATATGCCTTGCTAATTTTTATACTCTATGCCCTGGCTGAAGATGACAAGCATGCCATATGCCTTCTTGACCACCTTATCCACTGGTGTTGCCACTTACAGGGAACTGTGGACCTGTATGCCTAGATCCTTCTGTCCATTGATGCTGCTAAAGGTTTTGCCATTTACAGTAGATCTCCTGCACAGATGTTCCAAAATGTATCACCTTGCATTTGTCCAGATTAAATTTCACCTGCCATTTCTCCACCCAAGTCTCCGGCCTATGTATATCTACTGTATCCTCTAGCAATCGTTTTGGTCCCCTTTTCTGAGGGAATATATATGGCATTGGAATCAGTCCAAAGAAAGAAAGTTCACTAGGTTAATTCCAGGTATGGGGGATTTTCTTATGAAGAAATTGAGAAGATTGGGCTTGTATTCTTTGAAGTTTAGAAATTTTTTATTTATTCATTTCTAAGAGCTGTGGGCATCACTGGTTGGCTAGCATTTATTACATGTCCCTGGTTGCCCTTGAGAATGTGGTGGTGAGCTGCCTTCTTGAACCACTGCAGTTCACTTGCTATGGGTTGACCCACAATGCCACTAGGGAGGGAATGAAAGGATACCTTATTGAAAAACTCTTAGGGGGTTTGACAGGGCAAATATCCAGAGGAGGTGGTTTCCCCTTGTGGGAGAATCTAAGACCAGAGGGCATAAGCTCACGGTAAGGGGTAAACTATTTAAGACAGTGGAATTTATTCTCTCAGAGTTGTGATCTCTGAAATTCTTGACAGGATGGGCTGTTTAGCATATTCAAGGCTGAGGTTTTAATCAGTAAGTGACTCAAGGGTTTTAGAGATAACGAAGGATATGCAGTTGAGGCTTATCAGATCAGCCATGATTAACTGAATGATGAAACAGACTTGACGAGCCAAATAGGCTATTTCTGTTTCTACATCTCAAATGAGAAAAAGAAAGCTCAAACTTGGCCAAGTCCTTTGAATGAGTTTAAACCTTTCCTTTCCACTGGGAGCATATATTACATATTTGACAAGTTGATTTAAATTTTAACCAGCAACTTCCAAATACATATCTTTGCCAAAACTTTAAACTTCCAAATAAAATCCACAGAAAAACAAAAACACATTCTATTTCAAAATAAATTACCATTGTCGTTTATTGGTAAACCACAATTTGACCCATGGTGTCAAGATTGGTTCTCTGAAAAAACTTTCATTAAACCCACTGACCTGCCCTTTCTCCTTTACACCACCCTCTGTTATTCCTTTTAACATACTTAATTCACCATTTGTAAACAAAAATGAATATGATTCTGTTACTGGCAGAGTGAATGAATCTGCTCTCAGTAATGGTGACCATGACAACATAATCAATTGTCATAATAACCCATTCACTAATGGAAAGGAAATCTAACATCCTTCCCTGATCAGGCCTATAAGCAATTCAAGACCCATTGCAATGTCGTTGACTCATAACTGCTCTCTGAATTGGCCAAGTAAGCCATTCAGTTCAAGAACGTACTTTGGACAACAAACACTGGCTTTGCCATTGACGCCCATGTGCCAAAGAATAAAAGAAAACAATTCAGTACATAAAGAACACTCTCCTGATCTCTCCTTTTTATTCTTCAAATGATGCCACTGGCTTTATGACCTCTGGTTTTTCTTAATGTATTGAAAATGCACATAGTAAAAGATTACATCTTTTCCCAACATCCTCTGTTCTACTGGAAATAGTTCCATTCTCTTGTCTACCCTAATATCTAAAAAGGGTTCCCTCTCTTATTACTGCCTTAATGAAACTCTGCTGCACCCTCTACAGCCTCGACGCCTAATGCAAAGTAAGGCTCTTAAAGAGTCAAAATCAAGCAAATTACATAGTTTTTTTTTAAAAGGTAGAGTTAAAAATATCAAGATATTAGTTCATGTACTGTACTACATAAAACTACAATAGACATTTGGATCAAAATATTGATAGACACAAGGCCAACTCACTCCTGTGGATAAGTAACTTAACTCCTGTTACATAGTATCCCTCACAGTATACATCAGAAGAGTCTACCAATCATTTTGGGAGAGATTCTAAACCTGTTACATGAAATACTATATCACACTACCAATTACCTTTCTTTCCCTTGAAGTGGTCACCTACAAACATCAGAAGAAGTGATATTAAGATTTTTCTTCTAAGAGGAAGAGGAATTCAAGCAAATAGAAATCCAAACTTTGGCTGTGGCTATTCCAGTGCAGGCAATGGAAATGTAGCCTCAACTCAGAAATACAGCAAGAATATTTACAGACTAACTAGAGAGATTGAGCCATTTTCTGTTATGCAGTTACCATGTTATTGAGGATTTAGACAAGTTTGACTAGTGTTTGGGTATTTTTCCAAACATGGAGACAAACATTTGAAATAATGCATATTTTGGACATGAATAATCATGCATCATTTAAATCTTCTGTTTAATAGATTAACATTTATTATTCAAATAGACTTAAATAATGTCAACATTAAAATAGCAACCATATTCATCTTTCACAAACTCGATAAATTGTAATTCCGTTCCAGCATCGAAAATGTCTTGATACTGTGATTAACCACTCGCTTTAATTGCTACAAATGTTGAAGGCAAGGAAGGGAAAGAGAGGAACAAGGAGAGAAAGGGAAGAAAGAGGCTAATTAATCTGGTTGAGTGGCTCTTAAGACAGTTTCCATGAATAATGAGAAGGCCAAGTGACTGCTTTGATACTGTCAGTTAAGGGATAAATGTCAGCCTCTGGGGAACTCAGTTACTCTTCATATAATGCCACAGGATCGTTCATATCCACTTGCCCTACTTTATACTATCTCATCTGAAAGACCACATGCATGACAAAGCAGTCAGATTAAGATGACAGTGCTACTACTGAATGATGACATTCTAACTCAGCAAAACCTCATTATTATCCCCATCACATTTGGCCTATGAACAGATAAATAGTTACATTGGTGTAAACTTGTGATTTGCTTCTTGGTGGCATGAAGTGTACCCAGTGAGTGAGACTAAAAACAAGCAGCATCATATTATACAATCATAGGAACAGGAATAGGCAGTCCAGCCCATCGAGCCCATTCCACCATTTAATATGATAATGGCTGATCAAATACTTCATTGCTTTTTATCTACACTATCTGCATATTCTTTTACACTAATCAAAATCAAAAATATATCAATTTCTTTAAATATACCCAAAAACAAAGCTTCCAGTCTTCTGGGTTTATAAAATTCCAAAGATTCACCACCCTGTGGTTTAAAAAAAATTCTCCTTATATCATTCCCAAATGGTGCCCCCTGTTCTAAACTCCCCAAACAGGGCAAATGTTTTAACTACATCAATCCTGTCTATCCCTGTTCTGTTTCTTTAAAAAAAGTATTTTGAACTTCTTAATTTAATCACAAATGTTTTACATTTAGAAAATGTGTCAACTCTGCATCTAATGTTCTAAAGCTGTAGACTGAAGTTTGAACAGACATAAATTTAGATTTTATGATGGGAAAAGGCTACTGGAGAATAAAAACAAGTGAGTTCACAGAAGAATCCCCATCTCAACAGGCTGGCAAATTATTAGAGGCCATCATCATACAAAGTTCATGCACCCCCATTATTTGATCAAGAGTGGCTGCAACTACAATCTTATTGTTATTTTCTGGTAAAAGGAGGGAACATGGAAGTAGAAAAGCACACAAAAGCTAGATTATTTTTAAAATGAAGAAGTCACACGCTGCAGAATCAGAACTTCACGATCTCTCAGACGCATTTTTTTTCCCTAGATAACATATTTTGTTATCCTACCCTATCACAGATGGTGGATAATCAAATTAAAACAAAAAAGGAACATCTACATTAGCTATACCAACATTACTAATTTAATGATGTTAAAATTTAACATACATGTCATGGGTGTCATGTTCTTCCATTCTGTGGAAGAAAAATAAAAATACCAGTCACGAGAAAAATAATTGCACAAATGACACAATCTCTACTTCAGTAGGTTGACAAAATAGAGTTCTTCTAGGATGGGACACCTTTTCTTTTGTATGCGAATCAGAAGATGGACGCTTTCTGATATACGAAGCTACCGCACATACAGAAAAATAAAACAAAGACTGTGGATGCTGGACTTCTGAAACAACCAAAAATAAACTGCTAGAGAAACTCAGCAAGTCTGGCAGCATCTGTAGAGAGAAAGCATTCAACATTCTGAGTACAATTTTGAACGGTTACTGGATTCGAAACATTAACTCTGCTTTCTCTCCACAGATGCCGCAAGATCTGCGGAGTTTCCCCAGCAATTCTTATTTTTTTGTTACATTTCCACTTATCCTGTGAAGCTTTTATTTGAATTGTACAATCTACAGTCATCTCTTAACGACTTTTAATGGCATAAAATCTTTCATTAGCTCAGATACCCAAAGCACTTTGTAGTCAATGAAGCACATATGAACTGCGGCTACAGTTACGTAGGTAACTTGGCAGTTGATAAGCATACAGCATTATCCCACAAGCAGCAAAGTGAAAACAATCTTTTGATAAGGTCCTGCATGGGAGACTGAGAGCAAAGGTAAGAGCCCAAGGGATCCAAGGAAATTTAGCAAATTGGATCCACAATCAGCTGAGTGTCAGGACACAGAGTCCCACAGGGGTCAAAACTGGGGACCTTGTTGTTTGCAGTTTATATAAATGATTTTGGATTAAATGTAGGAGGGTTCATCAGGAAGTTCACAAACAATGCAACAATTGCTGGGTTGGTAAACAGTGAGGAGGATAGCCTTAGACTACAAGAGGATATAGATGGGCTCGTCAGATGGGCTGATGAGTGGCACATGGAATTCAATCCAGATAAATGTGAGGTGATACACTTGGGCAGACAAACAAGGCAAGGGAATACATGATGGACGTTAAGACCCTGGGAAGCACCGAGGATCAGAGGGACCTTGGTCTGTACGTACACTGGTCCCTTAAGCTAACAGAACAGGTGGACAAAGTGGTTAAGGAGGTATATGGTATACCTGCCTTTATTAACCAGGCATAGAGGTTAAGAGCAGGGGGGTCATGCTGGAAATCACATAAAACATTAGTTAGGCCACAGTTAGAGTATGGCGTGCAATTCTGGAATCCACATTCTAAGAGAGATGCGATAGCACTGGAGAGGGTGCAGAAGAGATTTACCAGATGTTGTCTGGGCTTCAGAAATGAAGAAAAATTGGACTGACTTGGGTTGTTTTTCTTGAAGCAGAGAGGATTAAGAGGGGCCATGATTGAGGTGTATAAAATTATGAGGGACATAGATAGGATATACAGGAAAAGAATCTTTCCCCTTGATATAGGGATCAATGACTGGGGATTAGATTTAAGGTAAGAGGCAGAAGGCTTGGATGAGATGTGATGAAAAACTTTTTC